TTGTGTCATTCATTTGTGGACCGATGGTGAATTCCAAGTTGTTGATCACGAAATAAAGCCCATATGTTGGATATCCCTAAATATCAAGATTGGAAACATTGATCATCTGATGCCAAAAATTGGAATTTGCAAACTTCCATTTTCGTTAATCCTAGGATTCGACTGGCAACAACAAATTCAAGCCAGATGCACTTACAATCCTAACGACTCATTATATATCTCTACACTATCTGCACTTCATCTGTACGAATGTATTCACGCGTCTAGACACAGTATTAGCTGTATTTCTTCAAATGATATCTCATTACTGCCATTAGATGATGTTACTTTACCAAAGTGGTGAACGCCCTGATTCAGGACGCACTGCATCCGTTGAACGTTAAATAACTCTGAAATCGATTCATGAAGTTACAAGCTTCCTTGGCTTTGCCAATCAATTTATAAAAATATATCCGCAATTATGCTGTTATTGAAAAACCATTGACAGCTATACTAAAGGGACTTCAAAAAGGAACCAGTAGTACCCCCATTTCTTTATCAGATGACCAACAACGCGCATTCTAGATTTAAAAAACTGCTATTACCATCATTCCTAGCTTATTTCAAACAAGGATTGCCTACTTTTGTCGAAACGGATGCATCATATTCTGGACTTGGTGCATGTTTATCTCAAGACCAAGATGGCAAACGCCGTGTTATTGAATACGCATCACTCACACTAAAAGATGCAGAAACACGTTATCATAGCAACGAGTTAGAGTGTACGGCTGTACACTGGGCATAAACGGAAAATTTCGTCTTTACCTTGTTGGTCACAAATTTCAACTCATCACTGACAACTATACAACTGCATATGTTATTTCGAAATCTGCAGTCAATCGTAAATTTGCTGGCTATCTGATAGATTTTGCGCAATTTGAATTTACAACTATGCATCGTTCTGGAAAAGGAAACGCCATCGCCGATCATCTTTCGCGATATCCAACGCCAGCTGTTTGCTTAACCGTTACAGTTACGAATCCCAAATTTGTGAAAAACAGAGGAAAGACGATTTTTGTCAGTATATCTATCACCGCTAAATGAAGGAAAGCCCAATAAAAGAACAATGGCTATCATCTGCAATTACAACATATATAACAACACTCCTGTACGTTTGAAGAATAATGGATCAAAACCTGCCGTCGTCATACCAAAGAGTATGCGAGAACAAACTTTAATAGCCTGCCATGATGATGTCGAACATATGGATGCTAAAAAAATCTCCTCACAATTTATAACAACGCTACTGGTGGCCAAATATGAGAAAGGAATGCCAACAATATGTTCAAACTTGCCACAAGTATCAAATTGTAAACCGCCGTACTGCTAACGCATATAGATTATTGCAACAACTGCCCATACCTACAACACCCTGGGAGATCGTATCCGCTGATCACATAATTTGCCTACCGCAAACTAACGCGGGAAACAGCAACATGCTTGTTCACATTGACCACGCCACACGTTACGTGATTGCAATCCCATCTGCTTCTCTTGCTACTCACACAGTTACTGATGCCTTATATCACAATATTATACTCCGATATGGTCCACCCAGCATGTATTTATCAGATAGAGGAACTGCCTTTACCGCACACCACACTCAGCGGTTTCTGCAAAGATATGAAATCACACAATCTACGACGCCACCCTTTTCGCCTCAAGCAAATAGTATTGTTGAACTTGCTAATGGTATCATTGTATCAACTCTAAAGAAATTAGTCGACAAATATCCCGAGAAATTGGATATACCATTGCCAAATGCCTTACTGGCCATAAATACCACAAGAAAAAACTACACAAAGAAGTCTCCATTTTATTTGCTACATGAATATGATCCCCGTCTTCGCCGTGAACTTCACATTGCAAGTTTTATTGACGATACTCCTCGTGAAGGTCAGTTAGACCTTTTAACCTTAGGTTAGGTTAGGTTAGGTTAGGTTAGGTAGGTTAGGTTAGGTCAGTTAGACCTTTTAACCTTAGAAGGGTCGAAGCAGCCAACAATGTGTATGAAACACACTTGGATAACAAACATAATTTGATTTCCATCGCCAACCCCATTTGTTTAAACCTGGAGATCTCGTCTTATACGACTGGCCGAAACAACACAATCATAAATTCTCGCCAATGTTCAAAGGACCATTCGAGATTGTTCGTCCAGTCGGGGCCGTATGCTACGAGATCACATCGCTCACAGCACAAAGAAAGTTTTAGAAGGTCGTTTATGTGCAACATCATCCATATTACAAGCAAGATGCGCTAGTTCTCGAAGAAGACGTAAGCTCCGAGAAAGAACCGGAAGTGGAAGTTCAGGATCAGGTAGATGATCGCTCAAATGTACTTGACCAAGATGACCAAGGATCAAGTGTTTTTTTATTTTCTTATACAAAATCGCAAAACATTTATTGTATTATACAAAACTAATAAAGTTTTATTTAATTTCATTACACTTAACTGTATAAATAAAGTTGCAACGTTTAACAAAGATAAAGATACTTTGCTTCTGTTTTCCATCCGTCGTTCGCTCCAGTATACAATCCACAATTTCACAAGCACGGAGGCTACCTTGCTTGTGAAATTGTGGATTGTCTACTACCAGCATTATCCTGTTGGAATTGCCAATTTTCTCTCCTAATAAGTGACTCAAAAGTTATTAAATTTTGATACAACAGTTCTTGATACAATGGAAACAGGGGGGCCTTAAAACTGAAAACAAAAGCCGTAGTCGCTAAGTCTCTAAGTTCAAAAAATGTATCGCTCGCCTGCGAATGACTCGCTTTGATTTAGAGAAAATTGATGCAGTTACACCGAATGTCCATGTATATATTATTTATTTATTTATTTAAACATACTGGGCAGAACCCATGATGCGAGGTATACAAAAATTGTTACCTATACATTACACACCAAAAGAAAAAATATTATAATCCGACCGTTATTACAGAGAAAATTAACATATACATAAATAAAACAAATAAATTATACAAATATTATTATAAATACCAAAAATAAATATTTAAACAAAATATCCAAACAAAAACATCATTATAGATAAACATTAATTACTTCCACCTATAAAAGAAAAAGGATTAAGTTATCTCATCAAAATGTGGAGAGTCTCCCAACACTTCTTAGCCACGAGCACACTTTTAAAGAAAAAACAAATGCCACCTTTCGGTAATAATCGAATACTTCAATATGCAAAAATAAACAACGATGTACTGTACGTCACTCCATACAAAGGATCACTAAAACAAAGTAAATCAACATAAGATTACCTAAAAATAATTTAATCTTTTGAACAAAATTAATTAAATCAAAATTACTTAAATTACTGATAAGGTCCAGAAAATTCTCAAACGGAATAATAGAAATATCAAACACACTTTCTCGAATTTTTTCTAAATTAGAATATTTAGCTTTCACGTGAAAAGCATCCAATAGCTGATCGTCCTGACAATATATACAAATTTCTCTGCGATAATTCTGTAAAAAGTTAAGAGAATTACATCTGATTTGCATTACTGTAGCACTAATATTAAGAGAAAAATTATTATTATAAATCCAATAGTCAAAAAAAGATTTGTTTAAGTGCTTGTACCAATCATTATAAGAGCTTACATTAATACGTCGATTCAAATCAAGAATAAAATTATCAAAATAATTTAATTTCAAAATAGAACAACTATCATAATTATTCAGTAATTCATCAAAATTAATGCCATTATTGATACAAATTTATTTCCCTTGAACTTTTAGACCACAGAAAGTCCCTTTTATTTAACACATAACACAAACATGTTCTGCTCCATCTTTTTTTCATCCAATGCAAATAGTCCTGAAGGTCAAGTTCAAACACTTATTCAATAATGTAAAAGACAAAGGTAATAGCGAACACTCCATAAAAATCAGATAATATGGGGTACAACGAGACAAACCAAATAACTTTTTTATAAAATTAACCAGGACCGGATCCAACTCGTCACATTGGTATCCCCAAATCTCGGACACATATAACAAGGATGATTTAACAATTGAATTAAAAATCCTTAAGCAATCTCTCAAAGTACGTAATTTAGCCGATCTACACATCTTAATAACTATCAGTTTTAATAAAGGCATTCTTTTTAATTAACAGTCTGAATATAATATTTAAATTTACCATTATACTTAAATATAATATCCAGATATTTATATTGGGAAACTACCTGTATTACATCGTTTCTAAACCACCATTTATCCAATTTAGCAAGTTTACCACCATTACGGAAAACATATATATATTACGAACTTATTTCATTAGTAAAAATGCATAGTTGCAAAATAATTCATTTTTATTGTTTAGGGTACAAACAGTTCAAATCCGCTACCTTTGGAGCACAACCACGCTACTTTTTAACCTTCACATCTGGCAACATTGGTATTGCAGCTTGATCTAGCCAGTGTTGTCAAGTTAGGGTTTTTTACCCTAGATTTAGGGATTACTTTCGAGTCTAGGGGAAATTTAGGGAGAAGATTTTTTTAGGGAAAATTTAGGAGGATTTTTTTTCCATAGATAATTTTTAAGGATTACATTTAAAACTTGAAATTTTGCATTTACTTTGAGAATTTCTTAATTTTATCACTACTGGCGTTGTCTTCACTTGAAATGGGGTCAACCAGCACTAACTAATGAGTCTAATGACCTAGCGAAGCTAGGTAATTAGTCTATGACAGCAACCAGTGTGATTTTACAAGCTTTTGTGAGTTTGATCTTTGATGTTAAATTGTTAAAACTACAGGAAATATTTAAATATAACTAATAAAACAAATTTTATAGTTATGCAAATAACTAATTGAAAGAATGAATATAAATTGAAACTTTTTGTAGGGTAATTTATGTTTTGGTTTGGTTTAGTTAGAAACAATTTTCCTATTATTCAATGCCATTATGGCGACCAAAAGAAATACACACAGTCATAATGCAAAACATGGGAGAAATTGGAAGAATTAAAAGGTAAGTATCAGCAATTTATATTTTATATTTATTTGTGCTAATTTGAAAATTTTCATTTTTAGCTTGGTTAGCTCCTAATCCAACAGGTGACCCACTGAATGCTTATTGTCGTTATTGTAAAATAACTTTAACTGCACACAAGAAAAGGTTTGCTTGCACATGCCAAAACAAGAAAGCACGGAGAAAAAATTAGAAAAAGTGCCAAATCAAATGAAAAATTGCCATTTGAGCCAGTAATAGGAACAGAAACAAAAATTGCAGAATTAAAATTGAGTGCCTTTGTTGCTGAGCATAGCAATATTAACACTGTAAATAATCTGACTGAACTACTACCTAAAATTGATGAGAAGCCTAAAATTATTGGAGAATTGAAACTTCTCCGCACTAAATGTTCGATGCAGTTAAAAAATGTTATTGGGCCATCAGTCATAGAGGAATTGATTCAGGATATGGATAACAGTCCGTTTTCTGTAATAATAGATGAATCAACTGACATTTCTACAATCAAGATTTTGTGCATCATGGTGAAATATTTCTCCAGAATGAAGAAAAAAAACCTAATTTTATCACAACCTATTATCGCCTCATTCAATTGGAAAATTGTGATGCAGATTCCATTTATAATTCATTTAGAAATCAGTTGTTGCAAGATGGCTTAAATCTACATAACCTAATTGGAATAGGAGTTGACAATGCTAGTGTCATGATTGGAAGACATCAGTCATTTTCTACATAGTTGAGAGATGATGTTTCAAGCTTGGTTGTAATAAGATGTGTTTGTCATTCACTTCATCTATGTGCAGAAAAAGCATGTCAAACTTTACCAAGACAGTTGGAATGTCTTGTCCGAGAGGCTCACAATTGGTTTTCCTATAGTTCAACACGGAAAATTCAATATGAAAGTCTGTTTGCTGCCATGAATGAAAATTCAAAACCTAAGAAAATATCTAAACTCAGTGGAACAAGGTGGCTACGAAGCTATCAAGACCATTGCAGATCGGTGGGAGGAATTACTTTTATTGTTTGGATTAGCAAAGGAACAAGATAGATGTTTTTCTGCAGAGCAACTGTATAATATTATGAAAGTTAATGCTTACAGACTGTTCATGATATTTTTAAAAAACGTTTTAAAACAAGTCTGTGATGTAAATAAGTTATTTCAAAGTGATCATGACGATCCATTGAAATTATATCAAGATTTATTCTTACTTTATAAATCAATATTACGAAAAATTATTGTACCAACTATTTTTGAAAAAGTATGATCACGTGATCACTTTTTCAAAAATAGAGATGACGATCTCATAAAGTTAAACTTTCAAAATCATCTAGTTCATGTCAATAGTGTTGACTGGGAATATGAATTTAACATTTTTAGTTTAAATGTTTCTGAATCTGAGTATAGTGATGTTAAATATCAATGCAAAGCCTTTATTACAGAGTTGTGTACACAAATTCAATAACGTTTACCAGAAAACCATATAATTCCAGAACAATTGAATTAACTGCATCCATCAGTTGCAACATCACAACAAAAGTTATTAATTCTTCCAATTGCGCAATTATTATCATCTTTTTATTTGACTGAAACAGAGTCTGAATGGCAAAATATTCAAAATAAAGTATGGAACAATTGTGACAAAACAACTGAATTTTGGATTGAAGTTTTTGAGAGCACCAATTCAGCTGGAAACCCAAGATTTAGAAATACAGTAGAACCTCGATTATCCGCCCCCCGATCAACCGACCCCTCGGTTAACCGACCGTCCTAGTCGGCAAATTTCAAATGTCCGCTAGTGATGTGGCGCTACAATATTTGGCTATGTCTTGGCTACTTTAATATTATTTTTACGTGTTTTAGCTGGCAACACTCATTCGACCATGAAAGGGAGCCAGTATTTAAACGAAGCTTAATTTTCTAATTTTTAACGATACAATAGCGACGATTATTATTTTAAAAAATTTTTGTTAGGCTTAACATCGATGAAAATTCAACGCAAAATAGGTTAATAGCGATATACTAATATACTAATTACATGGGATATAATAATATACTACACTAATAATGGATTTTTTCATACTTTTCGGTTATCCGACTTTTCAATTATCCGACCAACCCCAGTCCCCAATTAGGGCGGATAATCGAGGTTCTACTGTACCTTCCAACTTCTAGGAACTGTTGAGAGGGCTTTTTCAATCCATTCAATTATAAAATCAAAATTAAGAAACAGATTGTATTTAAATATGGCATAGGCTATTTTAGCAACCAGGGTATTGCTTTTTAAGAAATGAAATAACTTATGCCAATTTTCAACCATTTTAGATAATGATACAAAAATTAAACCAAAAAATGTATGCCCACATTAATTCACAATTTTCAAATGTATCAGAAGAAATAAATAATGTCATTAATGTTTATCAAGATATTTAATTTTCATAATGAATGGTTTTCTTTTAATGTTTTAAAAGTTTGTAATTCATAAAATAATAATAAAAGATTTTTTAAATTATTATATCAAAAAAGTTAGGGTCTTTTTAGGGTGGAAAAATATTTTAAGGGTTTTTTTAGGGAGTTTTTCAACCAAATCTAGGGGGCGTAAGCATCTGGGACTTGGCTACAGTGATTCTTGGCTATAGTGATTTCTAGCTGGTAAACTTGAAATATTAAATCACTTATTTATTAGTTGTGTTATGTTCGTTTCTTCATCAATATCCTTCACTCTCGTCATATCGAAAACTTATATATTTTAGGGGGGCATAAAAATTTTGAAAAGGCTTAGATGAGGCATGGCACAAAAAAGGTTGAAAAACACTAGTCCAGGGTCCATTAGTATCGTTTGTTCGATAAGCCAGTAAAAACCGTAGACTTCTCTAAATATATTTTTAATATCACAATTACATTCCGAATCGCTAGCCATGATATAATTAAATTAGAATTAAAATTAATTCTAGAATTAAAAATAAAATAATAAAAACTTACTTGGTGAAATAAAATGTCTGGTGGATGTACCAGTACATACCTGGTACAAAATATTCTTCAATTGTATGAATATACTTTTAAAGAAAATTATAATTAAATATAGCTTTGTAAAGAAACGTACATAAAAATAACATAAAATCTTTTTTACTTTTTAAATCTTAAAACAATCCACTTAGTCAAATAGCTCCCTACGAGTGGCTAATGGATGGACTCAGAGACGGTGGCAGTGCGTGCATATACACGGAGTGCCAAATTCCCAGGGCGCCGATACCGGTCAATGTCAAATACCTCTTTTATCGCATCACTAGTATATCTCAAAGGACGCGACAGGATTGTTGTAGATTTTAAACGTTTCTCACCATAGCTGTAAAAATCTAAATATGTTAAACTTAATAGTCATTTGTTTTCTGTGAAATCCGGAATTTTTGCCGAATTGTCCGATTAATATCCCACATTTTCTAAACCCCCAATTAAATTTTCTTTTAAAACCTAAACTAAAACCCTAGCTTAAAAAAAGGGAAAAATTCCAATCTCCCCTTTCGTTCAAAGTAAACATCCATCCATTTCGAAACTAATCCCACATTCCAACTCCCAAAGTTGATAGTTAGCATGGGCCTGGGGACAACTTTGACCCATCCGCGTACCTTTTACCTCACAACAATTTGTCACATATCCATTCTCTCACGACGAAACTATAAAAGCCGCTTGCTTCCCCCCTCTCGGGGGAGTCGTTCATCCACTGTCACTTCAATATTGTGTCCTAAGAATCTTATATCCTACGAATACTGTGTCCTACGAATCCTACGTGATCCTACAAATATTACGTCTAATCGTATTTTCCTCAACGAGAACCATATTTTTTTCTCAAAGGATTATTATCAGAAAGAGGTATGGAACAAATTTTTGTGAACTCTCTCTCGGCCTTTCGCGGTTTAGAGATTCAGATTTTTCCCTCGACAATAGTTATTGTAGTATCTATGTAGCTAATAAATCGTTGTTATCTTGTTAAATTGGTGTCCTCTTTTACTCGTATATCGCCTGTCATCTTACCGACGGCACTCCTCCCTCCGCTACTCGACCCGAAACATTAGAACTCGTTACAGCGGGAAAAAGGATAAATTTTAATCCATCCTGACAGTGAAAAGGTTTAACAACCTGTTGCCGGATCGGGAGACTTACACCCTCCTGGCGGTTCACTTTTCTAACTAATTCGTTTTAGGACCAGGTGTTGTCCATGGAAATTTCCAAAATTTACAACTTTTCGGTCACTCTCGTTGAACTGGAAAAATTTCTGTCTTTATTACATCTACTAGCTGTTACTTGCGGCTTTGCCCGCGCGGATTTTGCAAACAAATCCATTTATATTCAGTATTTCAACAACCATAGTAATTGTTATATAACACCTACCGCTGAGAATGATGAGAATTGCCGAGAATCAAACAAACTATTTTCAATTTGACCAATTTTCTGGAACGTTTACAATCGTTCTATAATCGAACCAATATACAATAACAAATTCGAATTTAAAACGGTTCGAACATTCTTAAAATCGAAATAGATAAAAATATTTATAACAATGTCTGAAATGTTATTAATTTAATACACCTAAGTACTCGATGAAGACTAAATCTTCTCCCTCTCCCGCCCGCGGGGGAATTTCGAAAAATTACTTCTTAGTGTGCATTCCCATGGCATACTCTACTAAAACGCAGATAGAAACAAAAAATCGCATCTAAAATAGTACAGTAGAAGCCGTTCTTCCGGTTAAGTCTTAATGCTCTCCCTCTCCCCCCGCGGAGGAATTTCGAAAAATCCCTTCTTAGTGTGCGTTTCCATGACGTACCCTAAATGTCTACCAAATTTCACCTCTTTAGGTTCAGCGGTCTGCTCTGGGCGATGATGAATCAATGAGTGAGTGAGTCATTCAGTCAGTCAGTCAGGACAAGCAATTTTATATATTTAGATTACTAGCTTACCCGTCGCGCATTGCTGCGATTTCAGAAGAAACAAAATTCAAGCAAACTCGTTATGATAAAATTAAATTTACATTTTATCATTTTTATTGAAAATTATTATTATGTTGGGTTTAGTAGGTAATACTTATTATTATTATTATTATTCATTTTTATCGGGAAAACATTTCAAAGTGTCGTTTCAATTCTATTTATTTATTAGAGTGCTTGTGGATACACGATATTTTTTTTTTTTTTGTTGGAATCAACGATCGCAATGTTTTGTAATGTTCTGACGTAATAAAAGGTTGGTGGCGGTCTTGACCCCTCAGGCAAAGTGCCCTCGTTTCACTCTCCCCTTTCTAGCGCTGACCTTCTGGGGGTAAAGACTGTGTGTAATCTTTGTGCACTCTGTTCTTTTGTTACACAACCGGTTACGTTAGTCCAACTGCCTTTTTACTAATAATCTTAAACTTCGCTATCGTTACTTTTGCCCGAGCAACGCCGGGCCTACCTGCTAGTTTATAAATAATTTATAATATTCATAAATATAAAAATTGTAATGAAAGTATTTAAATAAATAATACCCTATTACATTGTTTTTAATGTTTTCGGTAACCTCCTGGCGGACTTTTTCTTGCTTTTCAGGATATTTAACCAAGCATCTTGGCTAAGTTAGTAGGCCCGGCGTTGCTCGGGCAAAAGAAACAGTAGCGAAGATTATTACGTTATAGTCAACCTTATCCGTTTTCACAGAATGCATCGTTTTCCCCTGTTTCTAGACTAATTACAAAATTTTTAGATGGGTCTAAAATTATGTTCGATTTCCCGCAAAACGAAAAAAAACCGCATCTGCGTCTTGCACGCCGCTTTCTCTTAGCAATTCCATTGTTACGTAACTCTTCCATTGTTGACACTTCCATTCGTAACACTTCCATTGTTAACACTGTCATTGTTACTTAACACTTCCATTGTCGAAACCTTAATCCTATCTCTCTCCTCCCGGGGGAATTTCGAAAAATCCCTTCTTAGTGTGCGTTTTCGTGGCGTACCCTAACTGTGTACCAAATTTTAACTTTCAACTCCTAACCGTTTGGGCTCTGCGCTTATTATTAT